GCTGAGCTGTACTGGGCCATACTGAGCTGTGCTGGGCCATGGTGGGCATTCCTGCACCTTGCTGGGCAATACTGGGTTATAATGAGCCATGCTGGGCTGTGCTGGGCTGAACTGGGCCATCCCAGACCATACTGGGCTGTACTGGATTGTGCTGGACCATACTGGGCCATGCTGAGCTGTACTGGGCCATACTGGGCCGTGCTGGGCTGTGCTGGGCTGAACTGGGCCATCCCAGACCATACTGGGCTGTACTGGACTGTGCTGGACCGTACCGGGCCATGCTGAGCTGTACTGGGCCATCCTGGGCTGTGCTGGGCTGTGCTGAGCCCTCCTGCCAGCACGGAGTGGCTGCTGCTGCCCGGGGCGGCGGGAAGGGGCCCTGGTGGTAAATGAGCCGTGAGGAGCAGCTGCGATTCCAGCGGATCCACCGAACCACGCGCGGCTTCTTCAAAGCTCCTCGGCTGCCAAGGACCGGCCTGGGCACCTCTCCCCTGCCCTGGGCACCTCTCCCCTGCCCGTGGGCAGCCTGGGCACCTCTCCCCTGCCCTGGGCACCTCTCCCCTGCCCGTGGGCAGCCTGGGCACCTCTCCCCTGCCCTGGGCACCTCTCCCCTGCCCGTGGGCAGCCTGGGCACCTCTCCCCTGCCCTGGGCACCTCTCCCCTGCCCGTGGGCGGCCGCGGCTCCCGGAGGCTCCGTGACACCCCTGCAGCGCCGCTGCGGAGCCACAGCCCCGCGGGGATGTTGGTCCCGGGGAAGGGGGAGCCCGGAGGTGCTGGGCTGTGGTCACTCAGTGTCGGACGAGCTGCCCACAGAGGGAGAGCCCCCGTTGGTGAGTTGGTGCCGGACCGAGCCGGGTGTCACGGGTGCACTGCCAGAGCCGCCGTGCCCACCCAGTGCCTGGGGGCTGCGGGGAAGGTGCTGGGTCTGAGTGACGGGGCTTGGGCCGAGCTGGCAGAGCCGGTGACGGGTCCTGGCAGTGACCACTCCAACCCCTGCAAACTGTGCTGCCCCTGGCAGGGCTCCCACCCACAGAGACATCCCATCCAAGCCCCCAGTGCTCACCCACACTGCACAGCATCACCGGGCAGCCCGGGCCCCCTGCACCATGTCCGTCTGTCCCAGTCTGGGCCCGCGGACAGCCCGAGGGCCAGCAGCACAGGGCACAGCCCCCTGGCTCTGGAGGATCTGGCAGGGGGGCTCAGCACACCTCTGGGGTGGCAGTGGCAGCGTGAGGAGGGCGAGCCAGCTTGGGCACAGGACGCCACACTCCCCATCCCTGCGGGCGGACGCTGGGGAAGGGGCGAGGCACAGCGGGAGCGCGGCACAAAGCCGGGGCCGGGGCCAGCGCTGAGCTCAGCGCCGGGAGGGGCCTGCCGGGGCTCTGCTGCCCGGGATCGGTGCCCACACGCACAACCTCGGACAGGTGAGAGCGGGTGCTCACGCACAGGCACACACACATCTGCCGTGCCAGTGGTTCTGCACACTCACACGCGTGTGCCTGGGCACGTGCTGGCCCTGGCCAGAGATCAGAGCCGGGGTGTTGATGCCAACCCGCCTGGGACCGAGGCCTCCAGCCCTGCCAGCCTCCATCGCCACTGTGCCATCATCTCCTGCCCCACTGGTGTCCCAGCCCTGTGCCCAGATGGTGGCTTTGCACGGGGCAGGGGGGGGCCCAGAGGGTGGCTCTCACTCCTTCCCCACCCACACCGTATCCAGGCAGGGTCCCCCTCAGAGGGTTCCGGGCTGTGGATCTCTCCCTTTCCCATTCCACACCATACCTGGGTACTGGGCAAGGGCTTTGCCCAGGACATGGGTGCAAAGTGCAGGTGGGAGCCGGAGCAGCCCAGGACACAGCAGTGCCGGGGCCAGGAAAACTGGGAGCAGAGTGGTGGGAGCTGGGCTGTGCCCCCTCGGACTGGAGTACCTGTCCTGGCACCATCTTTCTTCACATCCCAGAGAGGGGACAGGAGGTGTCTGGCGGGGACAGACCTGAGCAGTCTCCCCTTTGCCAGCCCAGCCCCAGGGCACAGCGCTCACCCCATGGCATGGCCGGACCCCATTGCCTGGGATGAAGAACGTGGCTCCAGCCACAGCCAGTGTGGCTGTGTGGGGTGTGTGGGGTGGGACGTGTGGCAGGGCAGGCCCCGCTCCTAGGGTTCCCACAGCCATGGCGAGCACAGGGGTGGTTGGGCAACAGGGTGGCATCTGCCTCCCGCTCCCTGTGCGGGGGCCACCCAGCTCCACGGGGCACACGGCGGGACACTGCTCTGGCCTGTGAGCGGGGCCATGGGACCCAGCTCAGGGGCTCGGTGCTGAGCACTCAGCCACGACAGTCCCACCCAGGCCCAAGCCGCCAGCCTGGCTCCCCACTGCTGCCACCCCTCACCCGCTGCCCCGGTGACACGATCCCCCAAACCCGGCACGTGCTGTGGGCCACAGCGGCTCCCCCAGGGCATCCCTGCTCCTGTCTCCCTGTGGATGGTGCAGCCCCCCGGGACCCCTTGTGCCCACCCTCGTGCTCCAGGTGGGTGTCTCTGTCACCCCCAGCCCCGGGGGGCTGCACACGCAGGGTCTGTGTCCGTGTAAACACCCTGCAAACAGTTTGGTGTGGGCCCGGCCCTCCCGCCCCTGCTGCCTTTGCTTCCCGAGCCGGCACCGTCGCCCGGGGCTCAGGATGTGGCTGACACAGGCTGCGGTGCTGGTGGTGCCGGTGGTGCCGGGCGTGTTGCCCCAGCTGGGAGTGGTGGAAGAGATTTCCACAGGCTCAGGAATGTGCAACGCGACTCGTATCGGCGTTCCAGCCCGTGCCGGCAGCGCCGCGGGACCATCCCGGGACGTGTTGGCGGATGCGCCGTGGAGAGCTGTGGGCTCGGCCCCGTTCCAGAGGGGCTGTGGCAGCGCCGGGCGAGGGGCCCCGATACGGGGTGTTCATGGGGCTCCCCCGTGCGTGACCGGGGACGTGCCCCAGCACAAACTCACTGGCACAATTCCAGCCTCGGCCCCTTTGGCTCTGTGTTCGTTCAGAAAAGAAGTGAGTGCAGAGAGGGTTTTAGGGTGAAACGGTGGAGAAATGGGACTGGAAGCCATGAGAGCAGGGTCAGGCAACCAAGGGGACCGGGATAGGGAGGGGGCAGCCAGGCAGAGCCCCAGCACTGGTGGGGGACCAGAGGGAACGGCCGCAGCCCCCACTTGTGGGATCTGGGACTCCCCAAGCTGGGGAGGTGCCAGGCAAGGGCTGTGGTGCTGCAATACCTGGGGACAGTCCCTGTGCTCAAGGTGTCCCCAGCTCTCAGAGCAGGGACACAGCCAGGGCCTCCAGACACCCCATCCCGTCCTGACAGGCAGCTGGGCCCATCCCGACTGTCCCCAGCCATCCCAACCGGGACGGGGCAGGCGGGTGACGGATGCACTGGGACCGCGATGCCTGGGGACCACACGGGCACCCCTGGAGCTCTCAGGGCAGGGGGGTGGGCGAAGGGCACCCAGCACTGTGGGGGAGGCACCACCACAGGCACCCAGGGATGAGGACCCGGCACCTCCCAGCAGTGCCCGGCGTGGGCACGGCCGGAATGCCAGCAATGCCTTCCTCGGAAAGGAGGTAACGCGGCGCGGTGCCCGCTGGCACCCGCTGCAGCGCCCGGGGCTTGCCAGCCGCGGCTGCGGCGCCGGGCGGCTCTGCCGGCAGCACCAGCTGGGGCAGCACCAGCTGGGGCACACCCGGCCTGCCCGGCCACCCCCTGTGCCACCCGACGGTGTGCGCTGGATTTGGTGATGTGACACCCCCGGCCATGGCAGCCCCAGCCCCCACTGCAGGGTCAGCAGACAGACGGACAGACTGCAGTCCCTGCACTGACAGCGGGGTGAGTGGACAGATGGACAGACTGCAGTCCCTGCACTGGCAGTGGGGTGAGTGGACAGACGGACAGACAGACTGCAGTCCCTGCACTGGCAGTGGGGTGACAGACACAGGGACGGACAGACTGCAGTCCCTGCACTGGCAGTGGGGTGAGTGGACAGACAGAGGGATTGCCTGCAGCCCGTGTCCTGAGAGTGGGGCAAGGAGGCAGACAGACAGACAGACTACAGTCCCCCTCCTTGGCAGTAGGTGAGCAGACAGACAGACTGACAGAGGGCACCGCTCTGCCCTGAGCGGGCAGACACTGATGGACCCCTGTCCCAGCAGCAGGGCAAGCGGACAGACAGACAGAGTGCAGCCCCCTCTCCGAGCAGACAGATGGACAGGCAGAATGGAGCCCTCTCCCTGAGTGGACAGACGGACGGACAGAGCGGAGCCCCCTCCCTGAGCGGACAGACGGAGGGACGGATGGGTGCTCGTAGAAAAAGGAACCTCACTACAGTTTATTGTGGCGGCGGGCGGGCCCGGCCGGGGTTACATTCAGCTCTACTGCTCTCCGGTTAGCGGGGTGCGTGAACATGCGGCAGCAGGGCGGGGGTCCCGCTGCCCGCCGGGGCCGCCGGCGGGGCGGGGGCGCGGGCGCGAGGGACCCCCGCCCGTGGCAGCCCCACCGGGGCGGGGGGCGGCCGGAGCCGGGGCCCCCTGCGCGCACACCGAAGGCAGAGGGGTGAGGGTTAGCACCAGAAACGGGGGCCCGGGGCCCGGGTACCGAGCCCGGCCACCTCCCGCCGGGCCGTGGGCAGCAGGGTGGGGGACCCCCGTCAGCAACGCCAAATGCCGGGGGACACCGCGGCCACTCCGAGCCGACGGCACGGGAGAGGCGCAGGGCCCAGCGCGGGGGTGGATGCCCGGCTGGACCCACGGCCCCGGGCACTCGGAGCGGGGCGCGGGGGCTCGGGCCCCCCCCGCGCTGCCCGGTGGAGCCGTGGGGAAGGGGGACAGTGCCCGGGGGCTTGGAGGGTGTCGGGGGGTACTTGCATATCCGCCGGGGCCGGTCCCGGCGGGGTCGGTGACGGACAGACAGCTCAGCCCCGCTCGGGGAGCCGCAGCGCCGGGCCGGAGCCCCGCGGGGCGCACGGCCGCGGCTTCGCCGTCCTCCAGCCTCGGGGAGGAGGGTCCTGAGTGGGGCCGGCCGAGGGTGCTGGCGCAGGGCGGGCGCGGGGGTCAGCGGCAGGGGCTGCAGCGCTCCGGGGGGGACCCTTCGGGCGGCTCTGCGAGGGCACGGAGGGGCTGGAGCGGGGAGTTCTCCCGCAGCAGCTCCGGCGCGCCGAGGGCCGGCGGACAGCCCCGCTGCCCTGCCCCGCACCGCACACCCGCTCCGGCCCCCGGTGCCCCCCGAGCCCCTGCCCCCAGGGCGGCCCGGCGCTCACCTGGGAGTGCCGCAGCCAGGCTCTCCTCGGCCGCGCTGAACTGCAGCTCGGCTCCGTCGGGCAGCCCCGAGCCGCGGGAGCGCGGACACCGATCCCCGGAGCGCGTCCTCCGCAGCACCGACTGCGGAGGGAGAGGGTCAGTGCCTGGGGTGGGAGGGCTGGGGGGAACTTCTGGAGGGGTTCACAGCCCTCACCTTCCTGGCCAGGGGGCTGCTGGGAGCCGAGGCGCTGCTGTAGAGGCTGAGGCTGGAGTTGGAGCGGCTCGGGGACAGCACTTTGGAGGAGGCGGCCGACTGGTTCCCCGCACACCTGGCCGCGGTCCCGAAGGCGTCCGGGGACAGGTACTTCTCGTTGATCTTCAGGTTGGTCCTTCCCTTCACTGGGGACGACGGAGGCAGTGAGGGGGCTGCCGATGGGGTCCCGGCGGTGCAAGACCGTGGGGAGCCCCATTGGCTGCTCCCCACATGGCCCCCACTGACCCACTTGGCCCCACAGGCACAGGGAACAGGGACTCCACTGCACCAGTGCCTGGCGTGGGACCCCCACACCCACCTCTGCAGGGGTCGTTCTTCACCAGGAACTCGTCCAGGGCGATCCAGCCCCCGCCCACCCGCACCATGAGGGTGCTGCGCAGGATCCGCACCATCCGCAGCTGTTGGGACTCCCCGAACTGCGGGGGAGGGACATCAGGGCAAGGTGGGGCCTGGGGGCTTCGGCAGGGCTGGGATTCGGGGAGGGGGTGCCAGAGCAGCACCAGCACCCAGACCTGCCCCTCCCTGCGGCCCCTCGGTCCCTGCCAGCACCAGCCTCCCACGGGGCCAGGGCTCCCTGGGACGTGGGGATGTGTCCCCTCCTTGCCACGGGACACGGGTGCTGCGGGACCCCTGCACGGGGCAGGCTGTGCACAGGGGTCGGACCAAGCCCGGACCTCACGGGTCGGCACTTACCCGGTACCTGTTGGCGCTGATCTGCTCCACCTGGAAGCGCTTGGCGCAGTTGCACTGGGCCACCTGCCTGTTCACCTGGGGGACCACGCTCAGCTCAGCCCCAGGCGGGTCCCCCCCCTTCCAGCCCCCCGCCCTCCATCCCCCCCCACACCTCATCCTGGATCTGGTCGGCGTCGGCGGAGCGGCGCAGGGGGTCCCGGTTGGGGTGCAGAGCACTGACGAACTCGTAGTAGTCGATGAAGCCGTCGCCATTCATGTCGAAGATGGTGGCCACGGCGTTCATCTCCAGGACGTTGGTGGGGAACTCTGAGGGGGGACAGGGACCCTCAGCCCCCAGTGCCAGCCCCCTCAGCCTCCTCCAGCCCCCCCGGCACCCACTGGAGGCGAGGACGCCCTCGATGAACTCCCGCTGGCTGATGCGCCCGTCCTGGTCCCTGTCGATGCCGCGGAAAACGTCCAGGACACGGGACTTCATCTGGCTGATCCACTGCATGTAGCGCTTCCTCCAGACCCCAAAGTCGAAGTGCGCGAACTCCTCCAGCTTGGGGGGGCACAGACGGGGATCGACACATCGGCAGGACCCCCCCAAGCCCCTCTGTGCCAGCCAAGGTGACCCCTCTGTGCCCCATGCTCAGCTCAGATGCACAGCCCAGCTGATCCCAGCCCTGCCGAGGCTGCAAGGGGGTCTCTGCCCAGGGCCCCCACCTCTGGGGTACACAGGGGGCCCGGGCTCCAGCAGCCACTCTGCAGTGTCGGGGTGCACCCACTGCGGGCATGGGGACCCCCCGCTGCAGGGATGGGGTCTGAGACCCACCAATCCCATCCACATCCGACCTGGGGCCAGGGGGTCCCATGGGCTGAAAGTGAGAGGAGCTGCCCCTTACAGGGCAGTGGGACCCCACGGTGTCCTCACCTCCCACAAGAGAACCTGCCTGGGACCCCAGAGCACCCCTACCTGCTGGGAGAGGACCTGCCTCTACCCCCCAGGGCAGCAGGACCCCCAGGGCACCCCTACCTCTTGGGGGAGGAGCTGCCCAGGCCCCCAAAATTCACCTACCTCCCATGAGAAGAGCTGCCCGCAGCCCCCGGGCAGCAGGACCCCTGGGGTGCCCTCTCTTCCACAGAAGCTGCCCGGGATCCAGAGTGCTCCCACCTCCCCTGGAAGAAGCTGCCCGGGCCCCCCAGGGCCCCCCTACCTCCCGCAGGCGCTGCAGGGCCGTCTCCAGCCGGTACTGCCGGTCCAGGGCCAGCAGCCAGAGCTGCTGCCAGCGGTGCAGGAGCTGGGCCATGAGGGGCGTCTGGGGCTCCAGCCCCCCGAGCGGCACCGCCGCCGCCCCCTGCGCCTTCCCACCACTGCGGCGCCCTGCGGGGACCGGCAGTGAGGGGGCAGCCGGGGGTCCCGTGAGGGGGCAGGCAGGGGTCTGGTGAGGGGGCAGGCAGGGGTCTGGTGAGGGGACAGCCGGGGGTCCCGTGAGGGGACAGACAGGGGCCTGGTGAGGGGACAGCCGGGGGTGTGATGAGGGGACAGCTGGGGGCCTGGTGAGGGGGCAGCCGGGGGACCCATGAGGGGACAGCTGGAGGTCCAGAGAGGGGCAGCCGGGGGTCCGGTGAGGGGACAGACGGGTGTCCAGTGAGGGGGCAGCCAGGGGTCCGGTGAGGGGTCAGTCGGGGCTCTGGGCTGTGGCACTGGGGGCGATGATGGGGGTCCTTACGTGTGGCCAGCCGGCGGGCGGCCGGGGGGCCCAGATCCGCCGCCAGCTTCCGCTTGCAGCTCTTGGTGACCTTCTCCACGTCGGGCTGTTTGCGGTTCAGCTCCTCCACGAACACCTGACGCAGAGCACCGGCACTGAGCGCCTGCTGGCTGTGCCAGCACAGCCCCCCGGTGTGCCCCACAGCCCCCCGGTGTGCCCCACAGCCCCTACAGCCCCCCGGTGTGCCCCACAGCCCCTACAGCCCCCCGGTGTGCCCCACAGCCCCCCGGTGTGCCCCACAGCCCCCACAGCCCCCCGATGTGCCCCACAGCCCCCACAGCCCCCACAGCCCGGCCCCACTGCCCCCCTCCCAGGACCCTCCTGGACCAGCAGCGTGTGCTGCAGACCCGCTGGGCTCGGGCTGCACGGAGCCAAAGGAGCCGCGGCGCCTCTGCCACGTGTGCGAGCGCCACCGAGGGCCCAGCCCGGCGCTCCCCAAAGCCCTCGGCCGGGTCAGGCTTGGGACCAGGGCTGACGTGGAGCCCGGGGACAGCCGGGCACAGGGTCCCTCACCGTGTGCTGGGCAATGAGCTCCTCCAGCTGCTCGGCCTCCTCGGGCAGCGGCTCCTGGTCCCGCAGCCCCAGGGCCTCCTCGGCCGCCGTGATCCAGTCCATGAGCTGCTCCGTCTCCTCCCGCTCGGCCGCCAGCACGGCCGCCTGCGCCCGCAGCCGCTCGCCCTGCTGCTGGGCCCAGCTCAGCACCTGCGGGGCACCGAGGGGTGCTGGGCCACAGCACCGACACCCTGCTCTGCACACCGAGGTCTCCCGCCCCGAACAGACGCCGCGGGAGCCACTGCTCTGGGGGGAACGAGTCGGCACGAGGAGCCACGGCCACTCTGGCCACGGGGCAGGCTCACGGACACCCCACCAGCGATGACCGGGCAGGGACAAGGGGGCTCCACGTCCCACCACGACCATGGGGCTGCATGGACCACCCCCAGCCAGCAGCCCTAGTGACCGTGGGGCAGGGACGAGGGGGAGGGATGTGGGGCAGGACAGAGCTCCTGCTGGGCAGCTGGGGCAGGGCTGGGGGCTCTGCCCCCCACATGAGGAGGGTGCCCAGGTCTGTGCCCAGGTCTGTGCCCAGGTCTGTGCCCTGCGGACGTGCTGGCTGCCCTTGCTATTCAGGGTGAGTGGGGTGAGGGGGGCAGCCCTGGGCAGATCCAGGGCAGATCCCGCAGGTCTCTGTTCAATAAGGGCTTTGTGTGGGATCACCTGAACCTGCCAGACCGGTCCCGGGAGCGCCGGGAGCCTCTCTCCTGCAAATCCTGGGAGGCTCCGAGCCGCTGCAGGAGCAGGTTCTGAGGGGAGGGTCCCCAGGACACCGCTCCCAGGTCTCCCTGCCTGGGCTGTGTGGTGGCTGCCATGGCACAGGAATGAGCCACTGCTCTCCAGGGGGGGTCTGAGGAGGCCCCAGGTGACCCCCTGTATGGCCCCCGGAGGGGGGAACATAGGGGGACACTGGCAAGGCCAAGACTCTCTCTCTGTGCCATCCAGGGCTGAGCACCCCAGACCCACAATGCTCCGGTCAGGGGGGCTGTGCCGTGGAGGACCCGGAGGTGGGAGAGGCTTGGGGCCACGCTCACCCTGGGCAGGGATGGGGACGGGGTGCCCAGCTCACCTCCTGGAAGCGGCTCTTGGCGACCGTGACCCAGGACTTGATGGTGATGACGGAGTCGGGGTGGCAGGTGGCGAGGATCTCCTCCCCCAGCGAGGTGATGCACTCCAGCTCCAGCTGCTGGCACTGCAGGGACTGCATCAGCTCCTGGGGGGCACAGGCCGTGGTACTGCCGGGTCTCAGCCCCCTGCACCCTGTCAGACCGGCCTCCACCCAGTGGGGGGTGTTTGAGATGCCAAACCTCCCCACCCTGGGGTGTTCGGGGCCCCCAACCCCGGTTTTGTGGTGTAGTGGGACCCGACATCCCACATCTCGCTGTGGGGACCCCACAGCCCAGCAGGGCCTGTCAGGGGCCGGCTGACCCCAGTGGTGGGGTGTCCTTGGGCAAGGCTGGAGCCACCCAGGGCAGGGGCCAGCGGGGGCTGTTGGGGGCTGGCACCCACCTGCAGCTGGCTCTGGCACTCCTGCACGGCCACCTCCTCCTCGGGGAAGACGCCGTACTTGAGGGTCTTCTCCGACTCGGAGAGGCGCCCCAGGAAGGAGTGCACCAGGGTGTGGAACTCCTCTGCCTGCCACGACAGCAGGGACCTGCTCAGCACCCACCCTGTGGTCCCAGGTCCTGTCCCAGGTCCCAGGTCCTGTCCCAGCTGAGTCCCACCTGAGTCCCCCGGCTGCCCAGACCCCTGGACAGACCCCGAGTCCTGCCCCAGCTGCTCCTGCCTGAGGCCGGACAAACCATGGCACAGGCCCTGGCACTGCACTGTGCCAAGGGAGAGCTGCTGCCAGCCCCGCTCAGCCCTCCTGGAGGGACTGAGGGGACACCCCACACCCCGGCTCGGCGCCTGGACACAATTTCCTCTGAGCCCCCCCGTGCCTCCCTGTGCCACGCAGGCCCCTGCCCCAGGCACCCCGTGCCACACGGGCACACCTGAAACAGGTGCCTGCAGCTCCCAGCCTGGCACCCGGCCATGGCACCGTGTGACACGGCCACACAGAGCCCCACGACCCCACACAGAGCCCCACGGCCCCACACAGAGCCCCACGGCCCCACACATCGCCTGCAGTGCAGCCACACACCGAGCTGGGGCACCCCGTGGGGAACCCCCAAATGCACGGCCACACACCGAGCCTGGGAACCCCACAGCGAACCCCCAAATGTGCATCCACACACCACCATGGGCCCCACAGAGAACCCTGAAATGCACACCCACCCACCCACCCACCAAGCCCGGGTACTCCATGGGGCACCCTGGAGCTCGACCACCCACCACCTGGGCACCCCACACCCCTCGGCCTTCCCATACGGGTGCACCAGCTGCAGACCCCGACCCCAGGGGTTCCCCTGCTGTTCTCACTGCCCCCCCCAGCCCCTCCTGTCACAGCAGACCCCAAACCCGGGGGTTCCCCTGTTGCCCCCCCAGCCCCTCCTGTCACAGCAGACCCCAAACCCGGGGGTTCCCCTGTTCCCCCCCCAGCCCCTCCTGTCACAGCAGACCCCAAACCCGGGGGTTCCCCTGTTGCCCCCCCAGCCCCTCCTGTCACAGCAGACCCCAAACCCGGGGTTCCCCTGTTGCCCCCCCAGCCCCTCCTGTCACAGCAGACCCCAAACCCGGGGGTTCCCCTGTTGCCCCCCCAGCCCCTCCTGTCACAGCAGACCCCAAACCCGGGGGTTCCCCTGTTGCCCCCCCAGCCCCTCCTGTCACAGCAGACCCCAAACCCGGGGGTTCCCCTGTTGCCCCCCCAGCCCCTCCTGTCACAGCAGACCCCAAACCCGGGGGTTCCCCTGTTGCCCCCCCAGCCCCTCCTGTCACAGCAGACCCCAAACCCGGGGGTTCCCCTGTTGCCCCCCCAGCCCTCACCTGCCGCAGCGCAGCCTCCAGCCGGGCCTGCTTGGAGAGGGAGAGTTTGCAGACCAGGTCCCAGCGGGTGCTGAGCTCCTCCACCTGCCGCTGCAGCCACTGCGAGTCCACGCTGCTGCTGCCGCGCGTCAGGTCCCGCACCGAGCGCTTCAGCGTCTTGATGCAGCTGGCACGTTTGCCCAGCTCCTTCTGGAACACCTGGCAGGGAGCACGGGAGGGCTGGGAGGTGCCGGGGGGTCCCAGAACCCTGCCTGGACCCTGTTACTGAGCAGGGTTCCTGCGCACCCCAAACCTCAAAGCAGCGAGCCCAGGGTTCCCCTGCACCACGAGCCATCCCAGCAGCAGGAACAGGGCTCCCTTGTACCCCAAACCCTCACAGCAGCGAGCCCAGGGTTCCCCTGCACCACGAGCCATCCCAGCAGCAGGTACAGAGCTCCTGTGTACCCCAAACCCTCCCAGCAGCAGGCACAGAACTCCTGTGTACCCCAAACCCTCACAGCAGCGAGCCCAGGGTTCCCCTGCACCCCGAGCCATCCCAGCAGCAGGTACAGAGCTCCCGTGTACCCCAAACCCTCACAGCAGCAGGAACAGGGCTCCTGTGTACCCCAAACCCTCCCAGCAGCAGGAACAGAACTCCCGTGTACCCCAAACCCTCCCAGCAGCAGGTACAGAGCTCCCTTGTACCCCAAACCCTCACAGCAGCAGGCACAGAGCTCCTGTGTACCCCAAACCCTCCCAGCAGCAGGTACAGAGCTCCTGTGTACCCCAAACCCTCCCAGCAGCAGGAACAGAACTCCCGTGTACCCCAAACCCTCCCAGCAGCAGGTACAGAGCTCCCTTGTACCCCAAACCCTCACAGCAGCAGGCACAGAGCTCCTGTGTACCCCAAACCCTCCCAGCAGCAGGAACAGGGCTCCCGTGTACCCCAAACCCTCCCAGCAGCAGGCACAGAACTCTTGTGTACCCCAACCCCTCACAGCAGCAAGCCCAGGGTTCCCCTGCACCCCGAGCCATCCCAGCAGCAGGCACAGAGCTCCTGTGTACCCCAAACCCTCACAGCAGCAGGAACAGGGCTCCCTTGTACCCCAAACCCTCACAGCAGCGAGC